TAATAGCTGATTTGACTTCTTCAATTGTAATTTGGGGGTCCTCTTTGGCATTGCGTGTCTTCAATGGTGTTCTGCTTTTCATCTGCAAAAGTTACTTTAACATATTTTTTGTGAAAGCATCCACACTTAATAATGATTTGCCTTGGTTATCTGCCAAACATCCAACTATTCTAGCCTTATATAAGCCTGTATTGCCCTGCGCTTTAAAGCGAACATAAAAAGATTAATAAGAATCCTGTCTAATAGACTAAAATTCACAAACCTGTCACCATTCACAAACAAAATAAACATATTATAGTAACTCGATAGATAGGAACAAAGCATAGAACACATTATGTATATATAAACTAGTTGACATTAAATATAATTCGTACCGGATACTGTATACATGCTGCTATCTTATTAAACTGGAGAGAATATTAAATCTTCAGATTTTTACTGAGGCCGTGGAACTTAACATTCAACACGTTTTTCTTAATGAAAGCCGTCTAATATAATCTTATGGCACTTCCTGTCTTTGGAGTCACCTGATAGTCTTCAAAAAGTGTTTACCGCTTGCGATTTAATGACTCGCAGTCATGCAAAATATGATCTACTATCTTTTAGATTTGCTGCTATAGAGATTACAGCTTATTTCTATATGAAACAGACCTATTTTACGCAGGAGCCCGTTAACTGGCGCATGTTTAATAAGAAAGTCTTTTATGACTTTAAGTTGATTTTTTCTTGCTTTACACAGTACTTTAGCCGTCACGCCCGCCGGCCTATATGTCCATCCAATATGCATTCTGTCATGTAATTGAGCAGATATATTTTTCCCCTGATAGTAATGTTACCGTCGATCCAGTTTATTTCCGGTCACGAATAATAATTTTTGGTACTTTCATGGCCAGCTCTTCATAACTGCTTCTATTCTGACAAGTTCATCAGCACTTTCGTCGATGACATGGAACCCATACCAGTCTGACACTATTATGTTTTGCCAGTTTGTCAAGTATTTCTAGGCATTCCAAAAATTAGCCTAGATCCACTTTAGGGCATATATGTCTACCATGGGGCCACGATTTTTGCTTGTTTTCCACAGTACTACAACCTTTTTAGCAAATATTTGTACAATATACATTTTGCCCGGTGGTATGTTGGCTATATATATGCATATATCGATTCGCGCCAGTTCAAAAGTCCTTGTGTTAATTTCTGCTGCACAGTGCAATATTGCAGAAGCAGAAATGTCTACCTTTTATATATATATATATATATATATATATATATATATATATATATAATATATAATATATATATATATAATATATAATATATATATAATATATAATATATATAATATATATATATACATGGTAAGTACTTGAATATATATATATATATATATATATATATATATATATATATATATATATATATATATATATATATATAATATATATATATTTATATATATATATAATATATACACAGGCGTTTAGGCGACACACCCTTCCGTTAGGGATATATGAAGGAGTATCACCGAGCCGCAAGCCATTATCTATTGCCGTACTGCTCTACCGCCGATTAGATACCAGCATATATTCTAGTCTAAGCCACATATTCATCTAGAATTTTAAACTGCTGCGTTAGCCTTTTTATTTTTCTGTATACCGAGAAGACCTGCACCTTAATAATTCTAAAGCTTTAGACCTATCTGTGTATCAGGTATAACCCTAAAGTTTAGATGGAATGTTTTGTCTGCCTCATCTCGCTTAAAAACAAATGTCAACTGGGAAAGGTACGTTAAATCTATATTTGAAAAATCACCATCTATTTTGTATCCCTGATTGTATTTATGATGTTACTAGGTCCTCATCTAGTCAAGTTATTATTCAGGTTTTCTCACAGTATATAATATCCCATTGTCATCTCACCCTTTATAACAATTGTATAAATCGCCCTGTGATTCTTAGATATGCAAGTTTTTGCACCTTGTTTAACTTGAGGATGGCACTTTTTGCTCCAACTTTGTCCACCATATCACTGACGGTGGTCAATCGGAGAACTAATTTCTTTTCTTAGAAAATTTTTTAATTAATTTTCTTAGAAACTTTCTAATTTTAAATCTGAATTTCTCATTGTTGTTCTGAAGCTATCATTTTAAAGTAATTACTATTTGAATGAGAATGAGCCACAATTAAAGTTTAAAATACGTTTATTGACGTTTTAATTTCCACTTCGGAAATCGTTCTCAAAATACAAACGTTAGTAAATTAAACAAATTTTGTTTTTTTGTTACTTATTTAAAAATTGTTCTAACAATTTAATTTTATCTGACTCATTTATATTGACAATTCAGACATACATTATATATTTCCAAGTAGACAACTTTAAAATGATATTGCCAATATTATTGAGTTGCGCTCCTGGGACGACTTTACTTATAAGATAATTTATTCGATTACATGAAATCAACTTTAACTTGAGAATATCTGTTAGAAAAAATCATAGCATGTAATTCGTCTTTAAAAAGACAAACACATGCCATGATGATAGTAAAATTCTCCTGTTAGTGATAACATAGTAAATTATAAGGGAAAAATCAGATAAAAAACCTCATAATACTATCCCGACATAATAAGTATTTGATCGTGCATTTAGTTTACTTTCAATAAACACCAAATTCTGATTTTATATGTTTGTTATTAAAAAAAAAAAAAAAAATGCCAGAACAGCCATGATGAAACTGATAGCAATTTGGAAAAATTCTAGCATAACAATACACACAAATCTAAGGATGGTAAGGGTGCTCATTTTTCCCATAGCCACATATGCATCTGAAACGGGGACCTTAAAGAAAGCGGATAAAAATAAACTGGACGCTTTTGAAATGTGGGTATACCGCCGCATGTTGAGAATATCCAGGATTGATCATCGCACTAACGTATCGATATTAGAACAACTTAAGGTAAAGGATAGATTGCTTAAACAAATACAACAGAGATATTTGCAGTATTTTAGGCACATTTCTAAAAGAACAGGCACGATGAAAAAACTGATAGTCGAGGGTAGAGTTGAAGGGAAGATACCCAGGGGAAGATCTCCAAGCCGTTGGGTAGATCAAACAAAAATATTGATTAAACAAGGGTTACATGAAGCCGAACAACTAGCCCAGGACAGAGAAGGATGGAGGGAAATCGTAAAAAAAACTGTGAAGGCCTGATGGTGTCACCATATCCAAAAAGGGATTAGGACTGAGGAGGAGGATTAAAAAAATATATTATCCTTTATTGTTTATAAATAAGGAATTTTCAACAATCGATCATATAGAACAAGACAACTTAGAACGAGATCCTTCAGCATACACACGAAATAAGACGAGGAAAATAACAATACCATACATAAAAGAATTATCAGAAAAACTTAAAAGGATACGAAATAAATTCAACATTTCAACAACATTCAAAACAACAAACACGTTGAGATCTATTTTGTCCAAAACCAAACCTAACAATGAACAAGAAAAGACAAAGGATTGCATTTTTAAAATACTTTGTAAACGCGATCAGTTTTATTTAGGCGAAACATCAAGGTCATTAAATGTTAGAATAAGTAAACATCAGTCTTATAATAAAAATAGAGAATTTGATAAATCTCAAATATGTAAACACGCATGGGATAATGAACATAGGGTTCAATGGAATGATTCAAACATAGTCATAAAAGACACGGATGGTAAAAAGCGGAAAATCAAAGAAGCGGCTCTAATTATGCTAAATGAGACCAATTGTGTCGCAAATTCCTCGGCAGAATGTAGTAGGATCTAGTTACCCATATTGAAAGAGAAAATTATTAAAAAGAAAATACCAGTATTAGTAAGTCAGTAACATATGGAGGATAGATGATTTATGTTTTTTAAATAACAAACATATAAAATAAGAATTTAGTGTTTATTGAAACTAAACTAAATGCACGACCAAATACTTACCATGTCGGGATAGTATTATGAGGTTTTTTCCTGGTTTTCCCTCATTATTTACTATCGAATCACTAACAGCAGAATTTTACTATCATCATGGCACGTGTTTGTCTTTTTAAAGACGAATTACATGCTATGATTTTTTCTGACGGATATTCTCAAGTTAAAGTTGATTTCATGTAATCGAATGAACTATATTATAAGTAAAGTCGTCCCAGGAGCGCGACTCAACAATATTGGCAATATCATTTTAAAGTCGTCTACTTTAAAATGTATAATGTATGTCTGAATTGTCAATGTAACGAGACAGATAAAATTTAATTGTTAAAAGAAGTTTTCACTAAGTAACAAAATTTGTTTAATTTACTAATGTTTGTATTTTGAGAACGATTTCCAAAGTGGAAATTGAAACGTCGATAAACGTATTTTAACCTTTAATTGTGACTTATTCCCATTTAAATAGTAATTGCCTTTCTCATGGCTTCCAGAAAAACAAAATGTCAAATAAAATATTTTTAATTAAACATGGGAGATTATTTCCATCAAATAGAGTTTTTGATATATTTATTAGGATTTAATTTATTTTCTTCTTGGAAACAGTTTTTGTCTTGTTAAATTTGACATTTTCATTTGTGCGCTATTTTTCAGCAACCTTTTTTTTACTTAGTTAAATTAATTATTAATACACAGACAATGTGTCCTTACTAATATAGGATCAGTACGTGTTGTAAAATTTTTCGCTAACGTTATAAACAATAATGGGTTTAATATAGTACCTATAAAAGTTTCGACTGTGTTAAATTGTTTCCTATTTCCTTCTGTTTTAACATTTTCTAGGTTTTTAATTGAAGATCCGCCCCAACTCTATATTCTTATTATTTATCTTCTCCATTTATACCTTTAACACTGGGAAATACCTTATTATTTTTTTTTAATTAGCCATCATATTTAATAAATATCAACACAAAAACAACCAGAGAAAAATATTAATTAAATTTTTAGTTGGTGCTTTTTATTTTTCTTCAATCCATTTCAGGCAATGGGCGGTCTACCTACAGATCATGTTACAGAGCTGAACAATATGAGTACGTCTAAGAACCAACCACTACCACCGCACATTATACGAAAAATAATGAAATTGAAACTTAAACTTGACAAAGGAACAAATCACAAACAAGTCAATGAGAATGAAAATGTCGTTAGCGTTGTCACAAAATCACAAGAAACCAGCATCCAGAAACCAGTTTTGAAACCAAGCCATTCAGATTCAAGTTTGATGACAATGTTCTTGTTGGAAGAAGATGACGAAAAGAACACGGTTTTACTAGACAAAGCAAGACCATCAACTGCTCTCGATAACATAAAAAAATCTAAAAATGATAATGTTAAAAAGATACCTTTAAAGCGAATGGCCGAATATGCCAGAAGTCCACAAAAGATTAAGAAATCTGAAGAGGTGATACCAGAATTACCGAAAGGAAAAGAAATTTTAACAAAATCTATGCCTAAAAATATAAAAACCTTAGACACTGCTATCAATAAAAAATCTATGCAGTTCGAAGAAAAACGTAATAAAACGAATATAAATAAGATACAAGACATCACATTAAATCCAATTGATAAAATAGGATCATCTAAAAAACTTGCAAGAACTATTTATCTAGAGACGATAACAATCAACTTAATAAAGAAAACGCAAAAGATGTAAATAAAAAAAGTAAGTCTGAAAATATAAGATCGGATACTAATATCAATATCAAAAGGATTCACTGCGAAGAAAATTATAGTGCTGAAAAGAATAAAGATGTGAAATATATTATTAAAGATTCAATTATCAAACAACATTCCTCAAAAACACCTACAGAAAAAAAATTATTCAGTGATGGTAAGGGTCAGTCAAAAAAAGACAATATAAAATATGCGAATAAAACAAATAATAACGCAACAGTTAAGTCTAAAAATAAAAGAACCTTAGACATTATTAAATCTACACAAGGAAGTCACACAAAAATCCACTGCCAACAACACCTTAATGATAAAATGAAGCCAGAAAATGTGTTAGAGATTGTTAGAGATCCAGATAATAAAAATAAATTATTCAAAACACAAATAAAAAAAACTCCAACCAATGATATTAAAGATCACTCTCAAGCTGAAAATAGAAGTTTAATTAAAAAAAGTTTCAACACAAGAGATATATGTAATATTAGTGAAAGGGTAGCGAAAAATAGATCTCGTTTAAAAAAATCTAATGTTTTATTAACAAAAAAGAACAATAAATTAAATAAAATTGGACATAGGGTGGAATTACAAAATAATAAAGTAGAAAACAAACTTGTTGAAAGTAAAAGTAAAAGTGTGGTAGCCGTAATTATAAATAAGGAAAATACAACCAACAAGACTAAATTTGTCTATAAAAAACCGTATAATGAATCTAAAAATGAAAGAAATAACAGTGGGATAAATAATATTCATAAAATGGATACAACTCAAGTTTCACAAAACTATACATTTAATCATTTTAAAGAAGCTAAAGAAAACAGTAAAACTACAACAGAAATTAAAAAAACTAATTATCCAATAGAAAATACCAGATCTGGGGAACATCTAAACGAAGAAATTAAAACTGACAAGAAGTTCGACAATAAAATTACTGTCAAAGTTTCCTCTAAAGAGGACAAGAAAGCCAACAATGAAAAGACGAATAAGAAAGACAAAATTCTATTTTCCAAAGACAGTTTAGTAAGAATTGTAGTAGATGTAGCTGAAAAAAAGAAACCTCTTTCAGTTTTACAAACTTCGAAACCATCAGAAGAAGCAAGTCAAAAGAATACACCAGAAAAAGATACTAATGGTTCTTTTTTTAAGTCCAATAATATCTTACAATCTGATTTGCACTTAAATGCTGCATCAAAAAACTACTTTAACTGTGATTTAAAAACATCATTCAATGAAACAATAGAGGATATATTAAAGGACACTATATTAGACGAAACTAAACACCCTGAAACTTTAGTTATGATTGATCTTAGAAGTAATGCAAGTGAAGTTAAATTTTTGGATATCTCGACCAAAAACGATATAGGTAAATCATCTTCTTACAAAATTATACCTAAAAAATCTTCAAAATCTTTAGAAAATATAAACAAACAACTTAATAATTATTTTTCAGACTATGATTATAGCTATATAAGTAGACTAGCGCAAAAGAAGAAGAAAGATAGAAAGTATGGTCATAGCAGCAATAACGAATACTGCTTTAAGTCTCATTTAAGTAACGAGGAAAAAAAGGTTCAAAACAGATCCGAGCAAGAGTTTAACAATAAGATGTCTGAAATAAAAAATACTACATCCTCGATTAGTATAAATGAATATATTAATAATGAATCTATGAGAAACTTTTCATCACTTTCTAACGAAGTCACAGAAAATATTTCTAATACAAACCGCAATACTGTTACTAAAAAAGTCAGAGATAAATTAAAACATAGTGATGCTAATAAAAATTCAATAAACATGTATAGCAAGGATCCGGATAAACCAATAGATGACAAACCCAAGGAAAAAGTGGATAAAAAAGCTAACAAATCTGAGAAACAGAAGAAGACTCTCGATAAAAAAGGTAATAAATCTTTAAATAAGAGTGAAACTAAGATAGTTAAAGCACCAAGTTATTTTAGAGGTGGTAGACGTTATAACAAATTATCAAAACCACCAACGTTTTCTGCTGGACGTTCAAAAAATATCCAAAAAGGCAAAGCTGAGAAAAATCAGGCAAAAGGAGAAACGAAAAACCATAAAAGGCGTAACGGTATAACATTTCTGCTACACAATCAGCTTATTAGTGACCTAGATAAACTAAAGTTATTAAGACTAATCGAAAAAGAAGACTTAGATAAAATGGTGGAGAAGCTAAAAATAAATCCCAATCAAGTAAACGATTCTGATTTTTATAGAGTTTCTTCAGTTGAAAAAGAACTCTATAACCGAAAAAAATCGCGAGATAAAATGAATAGAGATTTTAGAAAAAAAATGTCTGATTTATTACAAAAAACAAAAACTGTGCAATATACTGGTAAAAGTGGAACTAAGTCAGTTGCTCCAACTACAAGTTCCTCATTAAAAAAACGTCCTGTGGATATGGCAGGAATGCCTCCTAAAATCAAAGAAAATGAAGTATCTATAAAGAAAAATATTCAAAACAACATCTTAAAAAGTCCAGTACATCTTTTAGATGTAAATAAACAAAGTACAACTTCTAATCAGATTAAAACAAAAAATATAGTACCAATAAAAATCCCTTCCTCCAAAAATTTATCAAAAAAGCAGACTGAACATTCCACCTATCAAACAGTTGATATTTCATCTAAAGAAAACGCCGTTCCATTAAACAAACATTCGGAAAAGACCAATATTGAGAGAGACTACAACATAAAATCTGATAATAATAAAAAAAGGCAGACTGAACCTTCCACGAATCAAACAATAGATCTTTCATCTAAAGAAAATGCCGTTGCATTAAACAAACATTCTGAAAAAACCAGTACTGAGAGAGACAACACAAAATCTGAAAATATTAAAAAAAACGATAAAGGGAAAGAAAACGACAAAGAGTCACCTAAAGCTAGTTTAAATGATACAGCAGAGACATCAGAGGAGCCAACAAATTCTTCAAAATCTTCAGAAAAAACAAAGGAACGCGAATTTAGAGAAGTAATAAGGGAGGAACTTAATAATATTTTTGAAAATGGACCTCCAAATGTTAACACACAGGTGAATTTGGTGGCAAAAGTCGAAGAAATTATGGATACCAATAAGACATTGTGGAAATTTAATAAGAATTTTAATAAGAGGTTGTATGATCATTTCAAAGTATCTTCGAAAACATCCCCTTATGTTTTAAAAGCTCCAGTTACTGTAGAAAAGGAACTAAAAACATTCAGTGATATCAAACGGACAGATATGTGGCCGGAGTACCAGAAAAAAGAATGCGTTAGTATTTTAATTCCACCTAGAGATTTGCGACGTTTTTTAGATTCGATAAAGAATAATGATGTTTCAACATTGCTGAATAAACATGACGAACAACAAAAGTTTGAGCAGAAAACAGAGTTACCGAGGTATTATGGACCTAAGATCACGTACATGGCTGTAAACAAATCAGAAACAGGTAAAGATAAAAATAGTAAATAGTATTTAGACGAAAAAGTTAGAATAGGTTAGGTTAAAATATATCTAGAAAATACTTTAAGGTGTATAAAAAGGCCTGCTTTAGGATAATAACAAATTTTAATCTTAAATAAGTTTTTTTTTTATTTAAATTTTAATAATTTTTAGACATACAGAACGACAAGTATCCTAGATTAATTCTCATTCTTTCGATTTCCCAATAAAACCAGATTTATACATAAGATTCTGGAAAAAAATAAAATCACGTTTCTGTAATCTAGATTTAAGAAACTTGGTAGCAAAGCAACGCTTTTAAATATCACTCAAAACTATTGTGTATGCATGTAAGTTTGATTTGTGTTGTTTTTGTAATCATCTTGATTCACTTCAAAATTATGAATTTCCGAATCGCCTTTTCCTTAAACGGTTTTTAATATAAAAGTTTTAATTATGAAACGACTAACAATTAAACATAAACCTTGAGAACCAACGGTTGAATGAGAAATAGATAACTTCTTTTTCTTCTTTCTTCTTGTATGTAAGCTTTAAAGCCTATTTGTTCTTCAATATTAGCTTCCCAAATTGTTCAAATTATCGCACCAGCTTTTTCTTGGTCTGTGAATACTTCTTCGTCCATTCAGTGACTTATCTCGTGCTATTCGTACTATTCTATCCGCTGCCTTCTACTAATGTGTTCGTTCTAGTCCTGTTCCGTTTTGTCACCCATCCAGTTATGTCTTCTGTATTGCATGCTCTTCTTATGTTTTCTTTTCTCTCCCTATCCAACAGACTTTTATCTGATATTCGCTAAAGTATTTTCATCTCTGTTGTTTCTAGCACTCATCTCGTTTCAGATGTGTGAGGCCTTGTCTCCACCTTGTATGTTAATATAGGTCTAATTGCTGCTTTATAGGTTCTTGTTTCTTGTATTGAGTGTTTGTTCTTTCAGATTGTGTCATTAAGAGATCCTGTTGCTTTACTTGTTTTTAAACTTTGTTGTCGTACTTCTTATTCAACATTTCCGTAACTAGTTATGTCTATTCGCAAATATATAAACCTTGCTTCCTGCTCTATGGCTTTTCCATTAATTTTGATTTACATCGAAGTGGGTATTTAAATGTTGTCATACATTTGTTTTTTTCTGTTGATATTATCATATTGTATTTCTTGGCTGTTGTATTGAAGATGTGTATTAATCTTTGGAGTTCGTCTTCTGTCTTGGCGATTAATGCGACGTCGTCTGCATAACATAATATTTTGATTTCTTTGTTCTCCATTCTGTAACCATGACCCTTACGTACTGCTTGTATTATTTCATCTCTTAGTATATTAAATAAAAGTGGGCTTAACGAGTCGCCCTGTCTCACTTCGCTTTATACTGGTATGCACTGCGTTAGTTTGTCATTTATCTTTGCCTATATTCGATTATAGAAGTAGATGTTTTCGATGGTATGGATAATCTTGATTGGTATGTATGTACACCTGCTATACTCTAGGTGTAAGACGTCCTTGACTTGGACGCGATCGAAAGCCTTTGTCAGGCCTATAAAATATAGATATATTCGTTTATTGTACTCGATAGTCTTTTCTGTGATTTGTCTTAGTACAAATACGGCACTACGCAAGATCTTCCGGATCTGAATCGTTGTTGTTCATCTAATAAAGTTGTTATTTTGACGGTTAGGACTTTTTTGGTAAGCTTAAGTGCGGTGTTCAGTAGATTTATACCTCTATAATTGTTGGGATCTTCTTTATCTCCTTTCTTGAACATTGGTATCATTATGCTTTTTCTCCATGCTTCCGGTATCTTGCAGAGCAATATTAGTTTTTGTATAAGTTTTGTCATCTTTAGGCATATTTTCTCCTCCGTTTTTTAGAAGCTCGTTGGTTATTCCGTTGGTCTGGTCCTGGTGAGTTTCTTTTTTTGAGTGAATTTATGGCTATCTCTACTTCCTGAAAACTGATTTCTATTTTTTGTCTTAATTCAGGTACGTTATTGTGTTGATTATTATTTTCCTTTCCTTTAATACTAGAAAGTCGGAGGGGCCAATTTGGAACCTGTTGCGATTTGAAGTTATTGTAGTTCTTTTATTTGACACAATAATAATTTCATATTTTATGACTTTTAATATTTTGATACAAAGTCTTATTTAACGCAAAAAAATATTGTTTACTAAATTTATTAAATGGATTTTCTAACAAAGCTACCATAGAAGTCTGAATGGGCCAAACTGGCCCTGTATTAATTATTATCGTTTTCTCAGAAATTTGACGATTTCTTTTAACTTTCTGTCGGATAGATAAAATTATGTTTATGTACGTTTAATACTAGAAGGTATTTTGTTACATACTGTTTGTTCCTTGAAAGTATTTTGTTTATTGAGCGGTTTATTAGGTTCTGCTGACTCTCGTTTCTAGAATATTGAAACATTCGTTCAATTGTGAAAATTCAAGACAACTGTAAAGATGTCTCATCGTGGACTATCACAGCTTAAACTTCTTGAAGAAATACGAAAAATACAAGATCTTTCGGGAGGTGAATCTGAATTTGCAGAAAATAATGAGTCAGACGATGAACAAACGTACCGCCACAAAATAATGATTCAAGTGATTCTGATGCTTCAGAGCAGTTAGAAAGTTTTATTGTACAAGACTCAAAAATTTATGTAAACACTGCTTCTACAACTCAACAGCACGAGTTAGCTAATTTTATCGTGAATCTAAGTGCATCTCAGCCAAGTCACAAGAGAAAAAGAGGTTAACAAGGAAAAACTATTTCAATCGAAGACACCGAACAATCTAAAGACGGAACAAAGTGGAAAGTTATTGATTCTGGATCAGTACCTGGTAAGATTATGATTTTTAGTATCTTCATATTCATTGAATGTTTGCTTATCACAGGACGCCGCGCTCAGCACAACATCTATCGAGAGGAATCAGGTCCTACGTCGTATGCAAAAAGGAACGTGAGGAACAATTGTGTGGTAAGTGCTTGGCATCTACTAATCAACAACAGCATGTTACGTCTTATAAAAGAATGCATCATTGCAGAAGCACATCGATGTTTGAAAAATGACACATGGACTATAACTTTGGAAGAACTGGAGGCTGCCCTTGCTATTATGTACGCAAGAGGAGTCTACGGCGCCAAAAATTTCCCAACTAATAGCTTGTGATCAACAGTATGGGGTCCTCAGTTTTTTAGGCAAACTATGCCACGAGACAGATTTAAGGATATTATAAAATATCTCAGATTTGACATAAAGCAAACGAGATCTGAACGATTGAAAACCGACAAATTTGCTCTAGCCTCTGCGGTTTGAAATGGATTTATAGAAAATAGTGGTGCATGTTACAAACCGGGAATAAACCTTACTGTGGACGAACAACTACTGCCTTCTAAAGCCAGGTACCCGTTCACACAGTACATATTAAATAAGCCGGATAAGTTTGGCATACAATTTTGGCGTTTGACATGCGTGGAATCAAAATATATTGTAAATGGTTACCATTATACTGGCACTGATCATCTACGCAAGAAAGAAACAAGTGTTGGTGAACATGTTCTTTTGCGGTTAATCAAAAATCAACTGGGAAAGGGCAAAAATGTTACGACAGATAACTACTTTACATCGTTAAAATTAGCCAAGGTATTGCAAAAAAAAATCAACAAGTCTTGTGGGTACTTTGAATCGCAACAGAAAGGAAGTTCCTCTAAGCGTAAATAGTGAAAATGGAGAATTATATGTTACCCATATATTCCAGAGCGACGAAAAGATAACACTTACTGCATACCAAGAAAAGAGTCACAAAAATGTGCTTTTGTTAAGCTCATTGCATCAATCAGTGGATGTTGCTGTCGATGGAAATAGCTTCCTCAAACAGTAAGTTTTTATAATAAAACAAAATACGGGGTTGATGTGGTGGACCAAATGGCGCGTCTTTATACTACAAAAGTTGCTTCAAGACGATGGCCAATGCACGTGTTTTATAACATTCTTGACTTAGGAGCAATAAATGCATGGATTATTTATAAAGAAGTTACTGTAAGTAAAATCAGTCGTCGTAAGTTTATTCTGCAGCTGTGTGAAAAATTACGGGCTCCGTACCTTGCCTCCCGAAATATGGTACTATACCCAGCACCAACGGATTTACCAACCACCAGCACTGTTACTAGCCAAAAAAGAAAAAAATGTCAGTTAAAAATGTTTTGTAAAGGAAATCATACTTCCAATTAGCGCCACGGCTGTAATAAGGCAATGTGTGGCAAATGCCAAAAACTGCAAACTGTATGGTTTTCCAAATATTTAAAATAAAACTAAAAAATTAAATCAAATTCCATCGTCAAGAGTTTATTTAATTTCTTAAAACTATTTATTTTTATTTTTTGTTTATTCCCAAATAAATAGTTAATTCTAAACTTAGTTTTTATTGATTTAGGAACTTGGGGCCAAAATGATCCCTTCGGGCTTTCTAGGTAGGTATGCTAAGGCCGACTTTCTAGTGTTAAACATTTCCGTCAGGTGTCTTTCCGATTCGTTTGCTAGTATGTTATTGTATTCCTTCAATTTTGCCATTTCTTTTCGTTGGTTTCTTATGAATCTCCATATTTGTTTTTGTATTCCGTAGAAGTTGCTTTCCATCCTTTTTGTAAACTGTTCCCAGTGTTCATTTTTTGTTCTTCTTACCAACCGCTTTGTTTTATTTTGTATTCTTCTATAGGTGTCTCGGGATTCTGGAGTATTTATTGTTTTGTACTTCGTGTAGGCCTCCCGTTTCTTTTTACATTTCTCTTTTCTTTATTATCTGAACCATGGCGTTGTTTCTTTTGTTCAGTATTACTTTGCGTTTTCCTAGAGCTTCTGTGGCATCTTATTCAATGTTGTTTTTAGTTTTCTCTCAGCTCGCGTTTCTATTTTCGATGTCGTCTATTTGTTTTAGCTGTATCTTCTGTGCTAGCCTCCTTTAGAACATTTCTCTTTAAGAGTCGTTCCATAGTGA